GAAATTGCATTCATCCATGCTTCCATGTGGATCCGCTTATCTCACTGATATCTTTGCTAACGCCCTTTCGTTATCGGTAGATAATTCATTGGTTTTATTATCAGTAAGTGATAAACACCGGTGTATTAAATTTTGTTTGTATGAAAAGGGGCCACAAATCAAATTAGTGGGTGCAATTCCGACTGAGACGTAAAATTTCACTACAAAAACATAGAGGATGAAAATGCCAACTCTTAAAACGCCAAATTTCTGTTGCGTCAGTGAAATATTTTATATTCGGCTGGATTTTTATAGGGAGAGGCTTTTTCTCGGGGCTGTGAACCGTTTATAATTGGTCTGTAAACTGCGGCATTTGACCTCTAATTATTGTCTCAGTGGGCAGATGAAACAACCGTAGATACTGCGAAAGAATTACGTTGGCTTCTGGGGAACAAAGAGTGCTCAGTTGTTTAATGTACGATCTGTATGACTTTTTCTCCAGGCCGGTTAATCTGTTTTGTTTGAAGCAGAAGTGAATTTTCTTTTATTGAAATTTTTCTTGCATTTCGTTCTCTTTGCTTTCTCTTGCTTTTTCAGCATTTGCCCGTTCTGTAAAAGTAGTTTTCGTTTTTCGTTGTACAAAATGGCTTTTAGTTGCGCTTGAATGAGTAAGTGCTTAGATTGCATTCCACTTAGTTTAAATGTGTGTCGGGAATATTTTTCCTGCTGATGGAATTTGTCACCTCGCAGCCTGCAACACCTCTTTCAGTTACTTTCCCGGTGTCTAAGGTCCAATTTAGTGCCTATTCCTTAGTTCCTTTGTATGAACGAGTAAAAGACGGTATGGCTTGCCTTGTTGAGCGGCCACTGGGAACATTACTTTAGCCGGAATTTCTTTTTTTTTCGTTAATAAGTTCAGTGCGTTAACCTTTTCTGCTGTTGTATCCATCCTGTGTTTGGTTGCTGTTTTGTGTAATTAATACAAAAATAAAACTTTCCAGTTTCTTGTGTTCATTCATTACGCATTTGTGGTGCCCAGCTTGCTTCTGGAAATTGCCTGTTCATTTAACATGCAACACTGTAACTCACTGGATAAACGAGCATCCCTGTGAGGAGAAGTGTTAGTGAAAGCTAATTCCTGTATTGGGCTTTTGACAACATTATATATCTCGAATTTGACAGCTGCAGTTGTCGTACAATCTGAGGACGAAAGTTACACATACATGAGTTACCCGCTAGCGTTATCGATGCTGTGGAAGTATTGGACGGGAAGGAGTCTGTTTACCCTTCTGTAGTTTTGTAGCAAAACTTAGGTGGTCATTAACAGGAACAGAGACGTGAACGATGGCTGTGATGAACAAAGCAATGGTCTTTCCTTGACCACATGTAGGTTCAGTATCTCCGTCGGATGTCTGACAAGCAAGATTTCGTGAGAAAGTATGAATATGGTCAGATGTGTAGGAGGCCTTGTTGACAGTTGGTAGACCATGAGAAGATTAACTGCCGCACAAGCAGCCTTCGAAAAAGTATTGAAGATCGGGCGAGCAATGGACACCAGGTTCAGGACCGAAAATTCAGGCATGGCTTCTGCGTTAGCACCGAAACCTTTGCATGAGTTGCGTCCGGTTTTTGACAGTTTTGGTAACATTCCACTGGCAAATTGGGTATTTGTGGATGTAAATTTGGCTTACTTTTGCAGGGGATGCGTGATCCAGAATTCTGGCTACAGTGTTATGGTATGATGGTGTTGCATGCTTATAAATATCCACATCGACCTGTTGTCGGCATCCTGGTTGGAAGGCTTACTGTAAGCCGCTTTTAAATTTAGCCGGTTTCTAGAGCAAACGATTGATGGAGGAGATGCGGGTACTTTGTTTTGTAAGCAACTGCTTACTGTTGCGGACCGCAAGCTACTTCCAAAGTTTTTTCATTTATTCTGATGCTTTGATCATTTGTTTCCCTCTCCCCTCCCCCATTACCTTCCATCTCACTAGCTTACCGAGGAGGGGGAAAGGGGGATGTAGTAAGGAAGGAAGAAGGGAAAGTGGAAAATCGCCCTCTGTCCTCTTCCCATCTCCTCCGCCTCCTCACTCCCCGGCCCGCATTTCGTAGGAGACCAACCTGGATCTGCCTATGA